AATATATTTATTTAACACATATTTTTTTTATATATTTTTATATATATATATATATATATATATATATATATATATATATATATATATATATAAATTGAGACAGTTTCTGATGTTAAAACATCCGCAGGCAAAATTAAATATTCTATTTTATGATTTGGAAAATCCTCTGTAATGACAGGAGGGAAACTAATGTTGTTCTGCTCTGTTTTAGCTTTGGCTCCAATTTTGCAGTGTTCACATTTCTATAGGAAAGCTACCATCTATAGACTTTGCGGGCAACTTTGACTCCTGTAGGAAATGCCTGCGGTTTAATCCAACTCCAGTCAGTTTGTCTGGAAAGTCCGGTTTGCTTGAGAAGCTGTTAAGGTGCCATCGAGCTCTGATGCAGACTAAGAAATGCAACTCTGGTCTGCCTAAAAAATCTCGGTCTCGGTTCACATACACACACCAAGCGAACTACAAAGTGCTCCAAACGCAGGAAGTGAACTATAGCCCAGGGCATTCTGGGTAAATTAAATGTAAACAAACATACTAGCTTAGCAAAAGAAGGAAAAATGGCTCCTTGTCTTTTACCAAAGACAAAAGAGAACTCCTAAAAGCACTAACATCGCAACACCACTCCATTCTTGTTTTCATTTGGTGAAGAAGGAAGCTCAGTTTCAGTGTCTTGTTCAGTTTGACAGCTGAGTGTGAAAACAAACCACACTGGAACAATGGAACAAATGTTGCAATTCTTTTCCCCAATCGAACAGAGCCTACCAGACTATCAGAAAATACCCTTAAAAGTGGAATATTATGTATTATCTAGGCACATAGTATCATTATATAGCACAAACAAATAACTATGTTAGGGAAAAGGGTTAAAATCTTATTGTAGAGACTTTTTTCCCTTTGAATAACTATTCAAACTGAATGCTGGGAGCGGAAAGGGATTTCTACACTTTTTCAGAGTGAGATTTTATTGTGTCGTAATTTACTTGGACTAGTCTACAGCATCTCTACAAACAATGACTGCGTTTTTAGCCAGAAATGTCTTATAATCGCAGCAATTCATCAAACCGCGGCTCGGTCTAATCGCTGCTGCTGTGTTTAAACAAAGCTCTGATCAAGCCAAGTGTGAAACGTCTCCACACTCTGCACATTGATGACGGTTAGAAACCATTAACTCTCCCCCTCCCCCACATGTTTCTTTGCCCATAGAAGCTGCTGAATCCATCTCCCTCCAGTTGTTTCGCATACAAGATGCCATCGAGCAAAATATCAAACCAGTCACTTCTAGAGAATTAGCGCGATTGAGTGGATTTAATTACCAAGATGAGGAAACAGAGGTTAGTTGGAAAAGTCGAAATAAGGAGCGCTCTTATTCTGATTAGATTGTGGAGAAAGCGCCGGGCTTCATGTTAATTCATTGGCAGAGTTAGGAAACTCTGGAGGAACAGCATCATCGATCAAAACGAACATCCAGGCCGGGTTATCGGACAGGAACGCACAACATCGGCTTGGAATTCAAAGGAGTTTTACGTTGACTCAGCGAAGTGAGCGTCTTCGCACAATCTTTTATTTTCTTAGAGTTGACAATAGATGACCAAGTTTTGACTGTACAAATTAGTCATTTTATGTTTGGATTCCAGATCTTTGTAAATGGTACGTGGTTTCCATTATTCTGATCGGGATTTTTGTCAAAGATACACTCAATCTTGTACTTTCAGAGATAAAAAAAACCCCTAGAGATTGACCTTCTTTTCACAATTATCCAGTACTTTGTGACATCAAAACCGAAATAATTGCGTTAAAGCGCTGGTATTAGTATCCCAATGTATTAACATTAGTATTTCTATTACTTCGAGCAGTAAAATAAGTTAAATATCAATATAGGTAACAATTAATACAAGGTTAAACAAGCAGCAATAGAAGAAAAAGCCAAATGAGAAATTCATTTTTACGTTTTGTTCTTCCTCTTTTCTTCAGTACTCCATGGTTTTTTTCCTGCTGTCCATTTCACCTCCTCCTCATTATACTTCTCTCTCTCCCGTCACCCATTATTCTTCATCACCCTGCTCTTCTTCGCCGTGATTCGGACTGCAGATTAATAGACACCCCGCTTTTAATAAAGTCAGATGTGACCTCGTGTCGCCTGAGCCTCCCCCACCGGACGGAGAGGCTTATTGGAGGAGCTGTAGAAATGAGATGAGATGGTGTGCGTGGGTGTGTGTGATCGTGTGTGTGTGTGTGTGTCACTGTTGTCTCGGAGAAAACTGACGGCTGCATAATCCTTGAAATGTAAGAGGAGGGGTGTGGAGGAAACACACGAAAAGAGCAGCTGGTATTTGAAGACATTGTGTGTGTAAACGTGGCACTTCGTTGAGAATATTCAACAAAATAGTTCAGTTTATCAGTAGGTAATCACAAACTGGAAAAATAAAATGTTTTCACCAGAATAACCTTTGTTTGCTAAGTGTCAGAACAATGAGAGAACATTTTTATTATTTTCTGTTTTGAATTACAGATGCTTTCATAAACTAAGCGCATCTTTTAATATTGTGAAATACACCAATTTTGATACGGCCAAAAAAAAACACCTCATCCTGGCACCAAAACATTTTGTTGAAAACCCTGATCTTTGTTTTTTTTTTTTTCATTGCCTCATTTCCATTACGCAAATTTTATTTTGTAACGATACGGTCAATGGAAGCACAGCTACTGAGGAGACCATTCCATACTTTTATTTTGAAGAAACATATAATTTTCCGTCCACTTTACCCTTACACACCAGCTTGTATTGGTCTTTCACGTCAAATCCTAATAAAATACACAAATATTTTAGCATTTTGAAGTTCTTTAATTAACCACAGTATTATCCCAACTCCTTCCTAATTATGCCGTCTTTCAAATAGTTTTTCTTTGAAGAGCTCTGAAACCATTTTTTTCCGCTTTGAACTCTGTCTTTTCTCTCACCTCGTATTATCCTGAAGCCTTTGCCTGCTCTGTTCAACTCTCCTTCAACCTGAAGATTACGGACTTCCATCTACGTCTGTGTTAAACCCAGTCAAAACAAAGTCAGCTTAATATTCAGCCTGAAGCGCCGGCGGTGCGACTGCCAACCCCCCTGCAGCCTGCTGGAGTTATGAGTCCTGGTTACAAATAAACAGTCAAACAACGGAGGGAACAGGGAAACGTAAACTCCGGGATAGGAACTTGAATTCCCAGTGCGTTGGAGTACGTCCGCACACGCAGCCACACGGATTAACTACTGGCTGCCAGCAGCGCCGAGCCAAATCCACGTCTTCGCCGTTGTACTGCGAGAGAGCTCACCAGGGGGAGATGATAGTGATCAAAGCAGGCGTCCCGCTGAGATATTCCCATGAATGTGCATCGGAATGGCAGGCCGCTCCTCCTCCATCTGATTGTTCTGACACACCATTTCTATCATTCCCCTTGAAATGCGGTGCAACCCCATCAACTCGCCGTGCGATTAAACATTCAAATTTGTGCTCAAAACAGTATGTAATCATGGATGTGTGAGAGCGCTAGTCAGAGGGGCAGCTGAGGGTTGGGGGGCGAGTCAAATCCCAGAGGAAAACGTTCCAGGGCCGCTGGTTTAAATATTCCACACAATGTGGATGACAGAAAGGAAAGGAAAAGGAACTGAGGCGAATGCAAAGCATCCATGAGGTACTGACGGGGGAATGAAGGCGCCACGCCAAGACGGAGCGTTCAGCTTCAATAATGTGAAGAATCATTTACATGACAACAAAGATATGCAACATCACCAAGCAGCTTCTGGAATCTGTAAATTATATTAATGAATTTACTTAAAGTTTACATTTTCCATCCATCCATCTGTAAACACGTTGCACGCTATTGTTTACATTCGGAAATTTTGGGCATGCGGACATTGCTGGAGAGCAAAAAGACTATTCTTTTACTTGCCATCCATAGCCATGGTGCCATGGTGCAATCATTCTGTTAAAATTAAACCTGGAGGTGATGTAGGTATTATTAATTTAGTGCAGTTCGCAACAGCAAAGGGAAAACAACACAAAAACCGTTGAAAAATAACTCAAAACCACTCATATTCATCTTTTTTCTCACTCTGTCGGCTACGCTATACACAGACATGTTGTCATAGCAACAGACTGGCAACAGCTCCACGAATGTTTCAGAACTCAACACCAAAAAAACACTCAAACATTTCCCGCGCAAATAGCAGAACATTCAGACCACAGTTTTATGTTTACAGGCTTGATGTTTATTTTACAATTATTAATAGGTGACAGCTGTGAGTCAGTTAATTTAATGGTGAGTTGGTGTGTGGGTTGACTTTTGTTTTGTCTTCATTTTTAAGTAAACCAAAACACATGGGATTCCACAGCACACCTACATGTTAAGACTGTCAAATTCAAGCTAGCGTAACTGACCTACTTCCCTCTCCCTGGCTATTATTTTTTAAATAAAACACTAAAACTGATACATTTTCATAGTGACTGTCAAAAAACTGCTGTAGTTGTATTCAATAGTGGGATTTATTATCATCACTATTCATTCTTGGGTTTTATTTGTGTGTACCAGTGTAACAATAAGTAGACAATGCATGTTATTGGGTTCATAAGCAAAAGAAAATCTTGAAAGCAACTAGGGTCTCTGGTGTCAAAAGTACGGCTGACACCCGCCCCTCTGGATGAATGTTGAAAGTCATGTGATCGAACAGGTGTGTCTAACAAAGTGTCTGTGTGTGTGTATATGTGTGTTTTGTGCATAGCAGAGCCACAAACACCAGTTGCAGTTTGACAGCATATTAGCACAGCATTGTTCACTCTGGATGTTTTTATATGATAATTTGCAACAATGATGACTCCAATAGCAGCGGCGGCCTAATCTCCACCGTGACTCAGCCTGTTTTACATTTGCTCCATGTCGAAACTTCTTTTCATTGTCCTAATTCCCTGCTCCGTCTCCTGTGACTATGCACAATTTGCTGGCTATTGATTTCCGCTGTAACAGGTCAGGGCCTCAGGGAGCGCTCCAGACTGAATATACGGAGGGAGGGGAAAAAAACAAGAATAACTGATGAGGGGATAAACAGGAATTACACTTAGAGGCAAGCAGCTTTAAGAGTGGAAGAAGGTAAAATAAAACCAAAACGTTAAGATGCATTTTGGTTGTAATTACCAGTTGATCTAGATGATAGAATTCCTTCCGTTGTCTTTCATGTTTCATGATAATACAGCCACCAGGAATCCTGGATTGCTGTCAGGTGTTTTTCTCTTTAGTTAACAGTTTTGTGAGACATGGCATGCCACACACATGCAACGTTGCTAGATTATGTCTGCCAGAAAAACTTCCAAATAACTGAGACCTGGAAAAGCACAGATGCAAACCATCTTCAATGTTCTAGAACAAATGAAAAACAAAGAAAAAAGGTTCCAAGGTCTACTCCACTCTCAACTGACTTGATGATTACAGCCAGGCAGAAGAAGAAGAAATATTCTTTCGTTGTCCCAAAGTGGAAATTCAGGAGTACCACCAGTAAGGTGAAGGTAAGTATACAAACTAAGGAATAAAAAAAACAAAAACAAAAAACAACTGGAAATAATAAAAGACTACAGAGTAAAGTAGGATGAAATATTGGGGCCAATGAAGATAGAAAAACATGAGTACATTTCCACAACACTATCGGAAATGTCTTGGTTTCAAAAGTAAAAAACTTGCAAGATTGAACTCAAAATTTCCGTGTTTTTTTCTTGCTAATTTTTTTCTTCATAAAACTAAAAAACTTCCAAGTTTTTTATAGAATATTTCTGGGATTAATCTGAAAATTTCCCCATTTTTTTGACTTGCGACACTCAGACGAATTCAGTTTTTTTCTAGAAAATTTCTTTTTTCCTGTTTTGCAACATTTGCTCCTGTATATTTCTGTCTCCAATGGCCCTAATACACCACTGTAAAAAAGGAAAATTTACAGCATAAAAAATATTGCAGTTATTAAACATTTAATGAAATGTACAAGATGTGCACAGAAAAAAGTTGCAGACTATTAAAAAAAGACAGTTAAAAGACGAACAGGAATGTTAACACTTATCGATTTTGTTGGGAGAAGTTCAGGTAAAGTCTACCAGCTGCTGAGAGGAAGGATATGTGATAATGCTCCTTTGTGCACCTAGGATTTAGCAACCATGATTAGCGTAGCTTTGGCACAGTGACACAGATTGTTAACATCAGTTTATAAAAACAGTTTCTTTATATCATGCAATATAGCACTGAATCCCTCAAATATGAATATCTGTAGCTTAAAATTGATTTAAATTGCTACAGAAGTTGGACGTAGTTGGATAAACAAAGACTTCCAACATGAGTTGTCCCTCCAACAATTGTCGCGTAAAGAAGACTTATTAGTTTTAATTAATAATCAATATGAGGTCTAATCAGGAGAGAAAGCAAGCAGCTATATAAGTGACAGACTGCCACATTGATTCATAATATGCCTCATGTTCGTATTTGACTGTGAAACGGTTAGCTTGATTTATTAGCCAGTTAGCTGATTGAGGCTGCTAATGGTTCACAGCAATCTGTTCATGTTTGTTGGAACATGTCTCTGTAACTGATGACTGTAATAAATATTTTTGGTTGTTTCAGCTGAAAAAAAAAAATATATAAATTGCATTCAGCGTCTTATTCTCGTTTGCTGTTAAGCTTGATGCGTCGTTATAAGGTCACTTCCTGCTTAAACAAAACTACTTCCTGTTGTGTTTGTTCAGAGATGTGACATTCTCCCTCCTTATTTATTCCACCTCTCACTATGCCGCAATACACAGCAAAAATTAGTCTATTACTGGCAAAAAGAAAAAGTCACTAGATTAAACTAAAGCGAATGTGGAGAAGTGTGTTTATTAATAGATCATTTGTACCTAATATTTTTCCATTGTAAGAAGATTTTAATTTATAGGGAATGATTTTGCCCACATTAAAATAAATAAATAAATAAAAATGACCATTTAATTAAGCAATAAATAAGCAAATAGTTCAATTACTTTTTAAAAATAAAAATATTAAATTTTATTGCCTAAAATGCATTAAGAGCATTTCTTTAGTGAATGCTTGATCATTTGTAGCAAACAATGTATCTGTAGATAAAAAATATGCCTATTTTGTTGATTAATAATTTATGTTATAGCAATTTTTTTTTTTTTTTTTTTTTTTTTACAGAATTTGAACTAAACTACGTCACTTGAGGTATTCCGTATAGAACATATTTACAGACAAAGATGGTTTTTCATCTTAAAAGCAAAACATATAAATATTTTCACACAGTTTTGGCTTAAGTTTCAGAAAATGGCTTTTTCTGTCTTTATACCCCAAGTCGCAATTAATCTATCACTAAATGAGTTGGCGATAATCTCAATAATCATGATTAATCTGAATAATCGTTTCAGCCCTAAACGTTTTTAGATTCAATAAAACATTTCCAAAGATTTGCTTTAAGCATCAACAGCTTGGCTCAGCCATATTGTTCAGTAATATTTCATAACTTGTAATTGCTGCTATATTTAGATGACATTTATACATGGCAATATTACGCAAGACTCTGTACTCAACTAATACGGCTAATTATCCACTATTATGCCGCTAATTATCTACGACAATAGCACTCGGTGAATCTATAGAAGAGTTTTTGCAATTTGGCATAATAATAAAAACAACATACAGAATGGAGTGTTTCCAGCTGTGAAATGGATAACCTCATACTTTCCCCCCCATACTTTATGATTTCTTTACACTACCGACGAAAACATGGATAGAAATTTTATAGATGAAGTCAGATATGCAAACAGTCTTTCCACAGATGCCTTAAAACAATCTTTTCGAGTGTTTTTTTGGCATCTGCTGGTGAGTGGGCCTGAAAAAAAAAAAAAAAAAAGAGGGGATTTATCCCCGGAAAAGCACTGGCGCCCTTAAAAAAAAACACTGCCCCCTGAGAGTAGGAGGGAATACTGAACCCCTTTGTCTCTGTAAGGCAAAGGGGTTTTTATATGACACACACCCCCTATACACCACCCCCCGCCACCCATTTCTCTTGTCACTTTTGGAGTGCGGCAGAGTGTTCAGGGTGATGATGGTGATTCACTCTCCTGTTCTGCCCTGGATGTGATGTGTTGATAACATAGAGGCGTCAGAAAGAGAAAAGACTTCATAGGTGGTGGTACTGGTGGTACTGGTGGAGATTGGCCTTTCTACTTGACTGATCTGATCGTCCGTGTTATCGGAAGAGACCCAGCTGGAAAAAAAAAAACCTGTGCATGTTACAGGTTCAGCCAAAGCGCTCAAAATGAATGCCACAAGAAACAGAGAGCAGCAATTAAAAGATACCAGTCTGGAATGGGAAGGAAAGAAAGATTAAAAACTGCTGCGTTGTCAGTCGTTCATGCTGCATCAGAATGTTAATGTTTCAGAATGACGCCAAGGAATCTCTTGTTTCAGGAAAAATACTTATTTTTGGGTCTATTGTGCTAGGTTTTCAAATGTGATCTATTATCCAGATGGGTGATGTGTTGGTAATATGGAGGAGAGGCTTCCTGACCAACTGAATAAGTTGACTAAAGCTTAATAAAGATCCTTCACGGTTCCTCCCTGGTTTTTTTTTTTTTTTTTTTTTTTTTGGTTTTTTTGGAAGGCCCTTAGGGGGGGGACAAGCCCGGGGGGAAAAGGCCGGG